TATTGTGAGAATATTATAATGTAATAAGAATTGTGGTTGATATAAACATCTGTTTAAAAATAAATAAAGAACAAAATGTGTATTTTCCTTCAGTCAACTGTGAACATGACCCTATTTCTGTCAATAAGTAATACATGTTTGACAAATATACATATGAGTATTAACTTTGACATATGATTTGTAACTGAGGCATGTGGTTGAGTGTCCAATACCTTTGTGGCAGCACAGCGCACAGCCATGGAGCGATCGGTGAGACATGTGCGAGCAGCTTTATAGATGTCTCTGTGACAGGATACGGCACTCACACCTAAACCCTTCAGAATCCTCTCAATACACAACATGATCTCACAGCGGCCCTGAGACTGGACAAAATAACACATAAGCACACATTTATAAAAGCCGTCTTCTGGAATATAAAAATATCTCTATCCCATTTTTCAAAAGTGCTCATCCCTAGTTCTGTGTGATATTTTGGTTTCCATAAACGACTCGGGCCCCTCCTTCAATGTAAGTCTATTTAGCCTGTTTTATAGTCTGACAGTTAATGGAATTTCTTAGAAAAGTAATAGCATGTCTAAAAAAAAAAGTGCACATTGATGTTTAATACTTAAGCTCAGAGTTTTGTCTAAAGCTTTAACCTTTAGTATAAGAAATAGAAATTATTGCTTTAGAAACACCATTTAAACAACTGGGCTCAGTGCTTTTTTCTTTAAAGAAATTTAAAGTGACAGTTAAGATTTTCACACTGTTACAAAATAATCTATTTGAAATAAATGCTATTCTTTTTAACTTTTCATTCAACAAAGAATCTTGAGGAAAAAAATCATGATTTCCACTAAAATATTAAGCAATACAACTGTTTTCAACAATGATGGTAAGATAATAATTAATGTTTCTTCAAATCAGCATTTTAGAATGACTTCTAAAGGATCATGTGACGCTTAAGACTGGAGTCAAAGTTGCCATAACTGAATAAATTACATTTTCAAATATATTCAAATAGAAAAAGAGTCATTTTAAATTGTAATAATATTTCATAATATTATTGGTTTTACTGTTTTTTTCAATTTTTAAAAAATGCAGCCTTGGTGAGCATAACAGGCTTCTTTCAAAAACATTAAAGTCCACATGAAACAGAAGTTGTGATTGTCCTTTCTTCCCTATTGTGACGTATATCCAAGTGAAACAGCTTCTTGAACAACAACAACAAAAAAGTAAGGCGGGACTTGATTTGACCATCGGACATTGATTGGATCACTGGATCACTGTCATTTGCTATTGCTGTGATCTCATATGAATGACGGGTTGCTGGAGGAGTGAGATTATCGTCCATGTCATCAGAGAAGAGATGAGATGTCGTTGCAAGGGGAAGTGGAAGTTGACTAAAGATTATGAGGGCATATGAATAAAAACAAATGATGATGTGCACAGATAAATCATTTAAAATAAACACTACAATCATAAGAATTTTCAAGGACTTTAAAAAAAATGTCCTGACCCCAAAACTTTCAACGGTAGTGTATTTCATTTGCTAATTGACAAGTCCTAAGCATTTTGTGATGGTCAAAATAAAAAATACTGCATGTGATGATTCAAAACACCTGAATCACCTGCTTGATCTCAAAACTATTGGTCAAAAAAGGCATGATTTTTCACAGTAAAGTACAGTCACATCTCTGTGTTTGGCTGAACTGTAAATCACATGCTGGTGTGCTGCCACACGTACCTCTGCGCTCTTCATTGCTTTCAGAAGGTTTGCCATAGTCTCTTTAAACGAGCTGATGAGTAGTCGACCCAGTTGCTCATACAGCACACCCAAACAGGCCACAGCTGCCCTGTAGGAAGTGTGGGATTACAAATTTAAGAATCTGTTTTAAATATGCTGATCCTATGTTCTGACATAGCATCACATGAAAAACTAAGGTGAAGTACATTGTATTTAGCATTTAAGGTAAATTACATCAGACAAATGATTATCTTAAGCAAAGTGTAGCAAAAGGTTCCTGTCTGTTCCTGTTCTCCTATTGTTAGTAAAATGAACCAGATTACTGAGACGATCACCTTTTGTTTGTAATGGCTCTTGGTGCCTCTGTCCCAGTCTTTGAGTAGTTATGCTGATTGGAATAGTACTGTCAGACTGATTGGATTAGCACCTATGCATTTGAATGACACTGTTATGCTGATGAGATCAGGGATGGAGAAATTCCGGTAACGGGCTGATTCCTGTATTGCATTTGCATGCTTTGTTTAGATTGTCTCCACCTCTATGTATCCCTCCCCCTTGAAAGGTATAAACTCTACTGTGCTGAGCTATAGTCAGACTTGGATGACTGCAGCGACGCTCGAGTCCTCAATAAAGAGTGACTTCTGTATGAAACATATCCCAACGTCTCCTGGTCTCTGCTTCGACGAGGAAAAAGTTTCCAACAGGAGCAATAAGTAAACTCACTGGCAGAGGATCAAGCTGAAGCCCATCTGCAGCGCGTGATGCATGCGTGTAGGGTGCAGATTTATGACACTCACAGTCGTGTAGGCAGGAAGCTGGGCGAGTCATCCTTGCTGCGGATGATGTCATTGCAGCGGTCCACAGTGAGGCTGGATGTGAGGGAGTCGCCCACTCGGTACACCAGCGCCAGACATTGTGCCAGCAGCAATCGCGTCGGGGGGCCCGGAGAACTCGTCAGTACCGCCGTCAGTTGCTCCACCAGGCGCTTCTGGTTCTGTTTCACATCGGCCTGCCACACAAATACATGTCGCCTTTCTGTTTAATTGCGGTTTCTTGGCACTTCACCAATAAGAAACAGACAGACACATCACTAGTTCATTCCAGGCCGAGAGACAGCCGGTGGAAAGGCAGACAAATAATCAGGGAGTCTGTTCAAAGAGGCTTGCTTGTGTTTGTGTTCGAGCGAGAGAGAGAGAGAGAGAGAGAGAGCGAGAGAGAGGCATACAGAAGTGTTTCTTCTCAAACAGAGAGCGATCACATTCAGGAGTTTGTGCCATCTAAAGGATTGAAGAGAAAACCCCTAGTTTCATAAGATAGCCACAAAGGATACACCAAAGATGTTGTAAAAAGGAACTGATGCAATTCATTTGACTCTACATATCTGCATTTACTGATAAGGACTTTACTACATGTCCGGTTTCATAACTTCTACATTTAATCTGAATGTGCAAAAGTGTGTAAACATGCCAGTTAAATGGTTTATTACAAATAGCACATCCCTTCTTCCAAAAGTACCTTGTAAAGCAGGGGTGCCCAACCCTGTTCCTGGAGATCTACCATCCTGCAGAGTTCAGTTCCAACCCTTATCAAACACACTTGTCTGTAATTATCAAGTGCTCCTTCAGATCCTAATTAGTTGGTTCAGTTGTGTTTGATCAGGGTTGGAGCTGAACTCTGCAGGAAGGTAGATCTCCAGGAACAGGGTCGGGCACCCCTGTTGTAAAGTTATATGTGAATTATACATTGTGTCCACTGAGTCTGCGCAGTCTGGAGAGAAACCAGCAGATCATGCAACTAAAATGACTAAAATAAGACCTTAAATGGATCTCAACTTTTAAACCAGATTAAGGAGGGTGAGATACGGACATCAAAGTGCCTGTCAGGGGAACATAAAAGGATGGGATAGTGAAATTATTTTAGGTTTGTTGGATTGTCCATGAGGAGTAAGACAGGCTGTCTGGAATAAGAACCCTTACTTTACTTACAGGTTTATTAAGTTGCAAGGGAATTGCTGATGTGAATTTGGTTCGTTATATTCGGTTTCAATGTGAATTTAACCTGCATATTATTATAAAGCTGATTGTGAAAGTGTTTTGTTTTATGCTACTCTATTAACCTGTAGCTTTCTAATCGAATAAAAAAAAATCCAACAAATCTGTTTGAGCACTGGATAAATAAATTAACAGAGATGTTTTCATAAACAAGTCTTCACAGTGGGTTTGTTTTCTTGATGGAGATGATGACTCCAGGCTAAATGAACCGGACTCCCGGCTAAACCGATTTGCTGCCAACTTCACACAAAGATAGTTATCCTCTAACATATATTTTTAACTAAACATTCGCCACAAAGTAAAACATGCATGTCATTGTCAGTGATTTAGTAAGTGTTAGGTGTTTTAGCCTAACGCTAGCGTTTATCCAATGCTAACCAATTCTCTGACATGCTAGCGAGATAAATCTTCAAAAGCAGCTATTTACTTATCATCTTTAAAATAAAAATACCGTGAGGAAAATGTGCATTACCTGCTAAATCCATCAACTGTAATGTCGGGGGAGAGCGGTATATCCCTATTCAAGTCGACTGTTTGTGTGTAATTCCTCAAAGACATCTGCTTGCATGAAAGTGCGAGTCAAACTGTGAAACGCAGCCACGTTAAAGAGAACATGAACGGGAGTGACCGCTAGAGGGACAAACACATTACTAGTTCAAACCAGACTGTAAAACGGTCTAAAAACTACACGGCTGTCTACCTAGGCAACTTTTTTTTTGGCTACTATATCAACCAACTGAGACTACTTATCTGCATTATAGAATAGCTGCCTACCTGTACAGCATTTTTGGCTAGTATATAGCCACCTACCTAGGCCGCATTTATGGGCATTATAGCATATCTACCTATTTAGGCAAGATTTTGCAATGTAGGACTCCAAAACATTCCAACCACAAGCACCGTTATTCCCTTCAAGTTACATTTACAGGATCAAAAACAGCTTTATAAATACATTCTATATAGTTAAGAGAGAGGGTGGAACAAGATTATGTAAAAGGGTTTGGTGCATGAAAACCTATATTGATAGTTTAAGTGTAGTTAGGGATAAAAAGATGAAAATATAAAGGCATTCATTGTTAATATGCTTTTACACAGCATTTCAAAAGCAGCAGAAAACAAAAAGACCAAGAGACATTTATCAAAAAATATATTTCTAAAGAACGTGAAGGAACATGACAAAGAAAGGCACAGCAGTCTTGACTAAAACGAAGTTTAAACCGTTTTATTTGCTCAAACATTGTTTTTGCTTATATATTTATTTACAATATAATCAAATAAAAGAATCTAAAATGTTGCCTTTTCAAACTTCTTTCACATCTGATTAATTAGAATTTTTCTTTTGCCTTTCTTTATATTGAGTTGTTTATGCTTTCATTAGAATTTTATGGTATAACATCCGCAGATTATGACCTCCAAATAAAAAAAAAATATATATATACAACCCACTGATAAGCACTGCATTGTAGAAGAACTGGCTCAACAAGGCAAATTGAAAATCTTCATTTGAGACGTTTTGTAAGCTAAAGCTAGCAAACATTTCATGAGCACTGGTGTCTGACATACCAAAACGTACTTAAAAACAACTGGAAAAGCAGAAGCTAAAATACTGTAAAACAATGTGATTAACAGCACTGAAACCAACTGACTTAAGATACATTTTACACATGCTAAACTATGATAGTGAAACTCAGCAGTATTCCATAAAATAATCATCCTCCTCATCACTGTCATCAGCTCTGGATGGGATATCTTTATCTGACAGCATATTCCACACCACAAAGTCATCATCTTCAGCTGTTGAAAACACAGGGGGATGAATGGGGGGAGGGGGGTGGTGCTGGCATTAATAAACAACACATTTTTCAACTCAATACATTGTAGCATGTTTGATTAACCAAAAATTGAACGTGCATACCAACACATCTCTTTAGAGTCTTCTTGACTACTGGAGTTGGTGTAAGCTTGTCCTACACAAGAAGAATATTGTATCATCATATTAACAGGGGAAAAACAGAGCATGTTCCTATAAATACATAAAACAGTTGGATCACTGAAGGGAACAACATTAAAGATAAGTAGGATTTTGAGACTGTTACTATTGGTGCTGCCTTTTTGCCTCGTTTCTGTCCCTTCTGGTTCTTCTGAAGATGGAAAATGTACTTGTCCATGTTATTCCTTAAAATAAACAAAAAATATATATAATTAATTAATGGTTTATTATACAAAGACCCAAATTAGACATGCATTTTTTTAAAATTTCTAAAATGAGGCATTAAGCCTGATGAGTGCACTCAGCATCCGCCCACTAAATATAGCTTTGGCAGTCGAGATGAAAGCGTACTTGTTGATGGATCCCAGCATTCCTGGGCTGATGTGCAGACACTGAGGGGTTTTAGCAGCAGTAGAAATGCTAGAACTCGGTGTCTGAGGGTTCTGAAGCAGGCTGAAATCTTCATCATCTCCGTTTGCAGCGAATACAGGCAACTACAGAAGATGATTAAAGCTTACTCGTGTAGTTTTTGTAGCTCTTCTTCCGTCCATTTTCCATCTAATAGCTCATCTTCATGCTTATTGCTGTTTTCTGTATGTGGCTTTTTGCTTCTAGTGTTTGCTTTTCCTGTTTCAGATTTCTGTGATCTTCTGTTATTTGAAACAGCATGTTGAACGCTTTCCTCATCCTCTGAGTGCTCAGAATGCATGTCCTCTGAGGACGCAAGGTGTCCATTGGTTTTAAGTTCAGATTTTGCTTTCCTTTGTCTTGATCTCTTCAACAATAATGTGGTCTTCTTGTCATGTCGCCTTCTCTCTTCGTCATTATCATCATCGGTGGGAAAATCAACAGAATCTCCTACCAAAACATCATCTGAATTTCTCTGCGAGACCTTTTTTGGTCTAAGTGAACCTCTCACTGAGTCCTGTTCATTTTGTTCCTTATGACTGGTAGAATCTTGCACCACAGAGGTCTCAGCTTTATGAAGTTTTGTTAGCTGTTTACGGTCTGTGGACCCTTTTCCTCTTCGCCTTTTTGGAGGGTCTGGAGATGCAAATGAGCTGTTAGAGTCAGTAGTGTATTGGGCTCTGGAATTTATGCGAGCACTTCGGCGTAAGGAACTGTTGTCGTGTGGCATGGATTGTGGTTCACCCTGAATTTGCTTTTGGGAATTGCTGTTGCTCTTTGTCTTCGGATCATTCTCAAAGCCTGATTCCTGTTCTTCGTACGACACTGCTCCCTCCCTGGCTGAGAAATGACCATTCACTGAATCAACCTGTGTGTTCTCCATCATTTCTGACTCTGAGCCCATAGCATTTTCCTCTCTTCCTGACTGCTGTTTTCTCAGAGAGGCTCTTTGAGGTCGACTAGCTTTTTGTTTCACTGCATGACCCGAGCTTGAGCTGCGGGCCATAACCAGGGGTCCTTTCTGAGCTCTTGAAGGTTTATTCAGTGTTGTGCTCTGAGATTGGACTTTTCTTTGGGGTTTGGAACGCTGTTTGGTCCTCCTTATTGGCACTGACAGCTCATCTTCACTGCTAGATGTTTTACGCCTCCCTTTTGTAAAACAAATAAATGTGAAAATTTGAATGAAAAAACAAATGCACTTTAAAAACAAACATACGTTATCAATGCACACCTCTTCCCAGAGTTTTGAGCCTGGATAATTGTTCCTCTGTGATTTGTGACGTTGCCATAGTTACTGGTTTCTTTGGCTGGAAAGAAAAATAACATCAAATTTAAGAAATGGCCCACCTGCACCATAACAATATAAAAAGACCCTGTAAATGCCACTAGAGATCAAAGACAATGTTTGCAGTGCTGAATGAAATGAGAAGAGTACCGTGGACAGCAATGAGGTAGAGTAGTCCCCATGGATAGTGACATTCATGTCAGAATCCATAACAATCCTCCCTCCTTTCCAGTATTCCAATGGTGGTTTGATGAGTCGGCCACTGCGGGAAACTTTTGCATTGCCCTGCTGAATTTTGTCAGTGGGAGTGATGGGAATGAGAGCTATACCACAAAAAAATTCAATATATTAGCGTCACCGTTTCAAACCTATGGGGAATGGGGATGAGCATAGTTTAAACCAAATATTTGAACTGGGATTCCAAAAATTCTCGATAACGACACCAATAAAATATAAACACAGCTAGACAATAAATTAATCAGTTAATTATGACTGATTCAGTAATAAATCATTCAGACAAATTTGTGAACTGTCTAACTGATATAAATGTCACCTTTACTGTTGAAATGATATACTCACATGCTATATTGCCCTGAATTTTAGGATGTCTGGATGTTGAGTTTTTAGAGGCCTGTTGGTTTTTAGCTTTGGGAGGTTTCACACTGCTGTTGTCCTTCTGACTTTTCTGCGGTCTAAAACAAGAATAGGCAAATTAGTTTAATTAAAGAGTTTCTTTTTATAATTTGATAAATAGCATAAACAGAGTTGAGGAAACTTACCTCATATGACCACTCAAAAACTGATCCAGGTACTCCTTCCACATTTTTGGAAACCCAAAAAGAAACTTCTTCAAAAACCATGATGGAAACGCTGTAAGGGTCGAAACAAAATTGTCAAATGAAATAAACACAATCAAAGTAATGCAACCTGATTTAAAAAGCATTTTCTTACATGAATTGGGATGTTTGGCCATTTTCCCAATGAGGACATAGGTTCTGCCAGATGAAGTCTTGAGAACATTGCTTGAGATTCTTTCAATGATAAAACTGCTGTGCCAAGGTATCATAGTATCTCTGGATGTATCAAACAAAAGCATTTTAGAGCCACATAAATGCTTCATGGAGGATTAATGAAAAAGCATAACGCTGTAACATAATACATTGTACATTATATTATAGTGCAGACACTATGACAATTCTTTATGGTATTCAAAAAAACCATAAACCATAACCATAAAAAAATAAATAAATAAATAAAAAATCAAACAAACTAAACTAATCGGAAGAAAGCAGGAAGCAAATATCTTACATGCGAATACCGTCAACCACAAGGTCTTTGTTGAGCAGTTTCAAAACCCAGTCTCTTAAATGAATCCTCCTCACCTAAAAGACAAAAACAATGTACTAACTACAAATGCTGAAATACAGATCCCAATTACAAAATATAAAACCACCAAATCACATTTTTGCATTTTGTTTTGGCAACGATTTTAAAAACCATTAAGAAACAAATGCTAAATGTTTTAACTTACATTGGTTTCTTCATATAGAGTTACATCTGCTTGTTTAGCTTGTTGTTTTGTCTGAAACACAGATGCTGTCTTTCGTGGGATCAACACCTGAGGAGAGAGCTGCAGTAGAGGATCATCCAGTAGATTATGAGGAGGCTGAGGGAGTCCAGGGACCACTTCTGTGCACTCCGACTGACCAAACGGATCAGACTCAGGACTACTGGACGTGTCTATTTGGAGCTCTTCCTCATTGTCCTTTTCTACTGCAATGCTCCTCTCACCAAATACAACACCACCTGCAATTAAATTACACAGAGCTAATGTGTTATGATCAATGCCATATTGTTCTTTGCATGATAGCTACTTTTGCATAATTATTTAGATTACAGTAAGTCTGTAACCCAATTTTAGGTAAAAATCCGAATAATACTTATTGCCAAGTATGTTTTCACACACACAGAATTTGTCGTGGTGACAGAAGAAGCTTCCAGTGCACACGTTCATATATATAAAACACAATAGACAAATGAGAACTAACTTAAGAGTTATGCATTTCTGTCTGGTTTTGCAAAAACTTGTCATCATAAACAGAGCATCAGTATATGGTCATTAAAACAAGATTCATATCCAGACATAATACATTATTCTAAACCACTGCAATTTTATGAATAATACAGAGTGAAATTAAAAATCATACCTTTATTTCTGATGTCCTTTGAACCAGTGACATAGGTGATGGGTTTCCGCTGAAGCTGGGCTAACATCTCATCAGGAACCATCTTGTTCAACAGCACATGAGGCTCTTGAGTAAACAAATACATACAGATTTTTATAAATTAATCAGGTCGCACTGAATATAACTGCCCTAAAATGCCAAACAACAGCAATTACTAAAACAATAACATTCAAATCATACGTAGGTTTCTGTTATAAAGATTCTCTGGCATTTGCTTTCGCCTTTCTTTCATCTCTGATAACATCTCCCCAGGTATTTTCTCAAGTAAAACATAGGGCTCTAGAAAAAGAAAAGGGATATTAGTAGAATTCATTTTCATCAATATGTATGACATCTGAAAAAAATGGAGAACTAACCAATAAATGACTCTGACTCCGTATTAAAGGTTTCATGTTGTCTTCCAGGCACTTTATGAAGATTGATGGAATGGCCATCCTGTGGTAAGTCCATTTCTCCAGCTTGTGCATCTCCTCTCGGTGACTGTGGAGGTGAGAGGGCTAACACATATGTCTCCTGGTTGGCGTTACTCTTTTGAGAGTACTGGGTTACAGGGTTCGAGGGGACACTGTCGCACATCTCTTGGTTGCTTACATGATCAGAGGCTGCCCCATGCCCTGCAGAATTTTGTATCTGAACTTTTGCCTTCATTCTTGCAAAAATCTTTGCCGGCGTCTCGCTGCACCTCTTCAGCATCAGGTCCACTTTGTCTTGAGGGGCGACCTCCGCCGTGGCATTGATGCTGCTGAGCTCACATGGGATATTTGGGATATTTTCTTCAGCATTCTGTGCAGTGGAGTTCATCAACACATTTCGGTTTGAGATCTTTCTGCCTGATCCAGTTGCCCAATTGTGAGCTACTTTAGATATGGTTTTCACTGGTGTGATCATGTCACCAGGCTTAGGGGCTTCAGGAGCTATGAAATAGTCTTGCAGTGGATAATACATGTTGTATTAGAGGAGTCAGACTAAATGTTTTCAGCCCCACAGTGGTCCATGTTCTCCTCGAAATCCTATAAGATGCAAAGGGGAAAATGTAATTAACAAAAGAAGCTAAAAAGGGGAGATTGATTAATCTATAAAGACTGTCTTTCGTCTATAAAATTGGACGCTTTCTATAAAAAAATCAGTCACAGGATTTGTATTAATATGACTCGCAACATCAGTAATAAAAAAAAAAACATCTTAATCGATTTAAACCATGAACACTTCTCTAAATCCAGCGTTAGTCTGGCTGTAAAATACAAAAGTTAAAGCGAAAGTAAGTTAACCCCGTGCACACTTATCCGTCGACTTATCCCGTGTAAAATGATCGATTACATATCAGTGAGTGAAACAAAGTTCCAACATAATATATATAGTTGATTGAGTGACATTGGGGCCTATTTTTCCTAAAAACCGACTCACTTACCATATAAACTCGTTTGAATTTTCCCGGATAAAGCGCGGCTAACAAAAAA